CGTCGTCGCTCGTCGGCACATGCAGCATGCCAGCATGTACGTACGTATACTCCACTAATGTGACTGTAGTCTGTAGCACGCAGGACAGCAGGAGGGCTAACATGCACGCGCTCATGCAGGGCAGTGCTACTCTGCTCTGCTTGCCACTTTGCCAGAGATCCAACAAGACAGAGAGGACATCGATCAAATGCTCCATCTGTCTCATGAGTTCTGACGCGTCGATCGCTCACGCTACGGCGGCCGGCCGGCCGCCCGCGCGCTCACGAGTCACGGCTCACGCTCACTGGACCGCGCAGGTCCAGCAGCTCAACAGTACTACTCACTCCGTTCCCCTGGAAGCGTCCTTTTGACTTTCAGACTTCTTATCTAATTATTCGTCTTATTCAAATTTTTTATATAAATATTATTTATTTTGTTATGATCTATTTTATCATTATAGATATTTTAATAATAATTTATTTATTTTATTATTTATATAAAAAATTAAATAAAAATGACATTTTCAATGGACGGAGGGAGCAGTACGCAGCAGTTGTGTCCCTCTAAACGTCACGCGCCCATCATTCTTCTCTCTTGTCCACCTGCTTCGTTTCCTGCTTCGTTTCGGAGGCTAATGCTAGCGGCCAGAATCATGCATGGTAACAGGCAAATCGATACTACGTCTTACGTCTTAGGTAGTTTCAATGGTATATTGATGATGATTTCTATTCTCATTAAATGACTTGTCATGTAGGTAAAATGTTGATATGGCAACGTAATTAATAAAGAAAGAGAACAAAAATCCTAGAAATAGTTTTTCTGAAGAAATCATGTCTTCTCTTGACTCAATGCACCAAGAAACCATGAAATTGCCATTAGAGAGAAACCACCAGTTTCCAGGGGCTCATGCCACACTCCCATTGGAGGAAGAAGATAGAGTTGGGAGAGAGAAAGAGAAAATAATTATTACACAAAAATACTTTTACTGTGCAAGATAATTTCTATAGATAATTTCTTGTGCTATGAAAATCGCATCAGTTTTTTTTCATTGAGACTGCCTTGCACCCGCGCATGCCGTCAACACCGATGCTCAAAGCTCTTCAAGCTGCACAGCGTTCAGCGTCGAGGACATCAAGGTGCATGAGCATGTGGGCCAATCCTGTCAGAGAACCATCAATGTTTCTTGCGCACGGTTAACTGTCCGTGAGCCCGGCTGAGAAATCGTTTTTTTATTTGGCAAGCATAGGCTCACCTTCTTGCCTCGATGCCTGGAATTTCGAAGTCAGCATGGCTCGCTGCAACGTGATGACTCTCTCTCTCTCTCTCTCTCTCTCTCTCTCTCTCTCTCTCTCAGCGTCGGCAGATTCATACGTTATGGCCACTCTTCTCATTCAGTCATACTCAGCGAAAAAAGGGCGCTGCACTACCGAAGAAGCCTACACGTATATCTCTCGAGATAGATGCAACAGACTCTCTCAAGGACCTAGACGGTTGACCCCTCATATATCCTTAGCCTTCTCCAAAAAGTTTGGACGCACAAGACATTGCCTCCTAGAATAAAAGCCTTTTCATAGAGACTCATTCCACATGCATTAGCAACAGGTACTTAAGAAAGAGAGGTACTCCTCCCACATAGACAACCGCTACAAACTTTGTGGTAATTAAGAAAGAGAATGATAAGCACATTTCCTTTGATTGCGACTTTGCCAGAGCAGTATGGTTTAGTTTAGATCCTCCTCTTAGAACTGACCTCCTATGGAACCAAATGGTGTACAACTTTCGTTGTCCCTTATCCTTCCTGACACTTGTTCTAATGAGCTGTAACAAAAGGTTCTCACCACTTTATGGTATATTTGGAAATCCATAAATGACTTAAGGTTTAATAACAAAAAGCGGACCATTAAAATGGTCCACCTTGAAACTAATGCAGACAGCATGTATATATGCATCCACATGTACATTGCATGAAGATGAAGACGGATAACCACCAGCTCGATACGTACGTGGAGACCGATGGCAGCACGCAATGATACAAGACCACTAGGTAACTTTTCCTATATCTCTCAAAGGTACAAAATGCTATATGGATGCTGCCCTGGCACCCGATGGCTCCAGTAACACTCTAAAAAATTGTGGGCATTGGGGTATTCATTGTAATCCCTTCAGGGCAGACTCTGAACTCTCAGATGGTGTCAAGCTCACTATGTAATTGAAGCTGAGGTTGCGGCTCTTCTTCTAGCAACAAACATCATTGCCAAACATCTTGTGCTCGCGCATCAGACCCCATGGGACGCCGTTTCTAGGGTCGCCTGACAAGTTGTCCTGCTCGGGCAGATAGACTTGACCGCCACCTTTGGCGTGCGAGCCTACTTCTGCACCGAGGCCCTAATGTTTCATGTTGTGGACTTTCCGGGCACCTACCACGCCATCTTGTGGCGAACGCGGTGTGCGAAATTCATGGCCATGTCCAACTACACCTACTTCAAGTTGAAGATGTCGGGCCCGAACAATGTCATCATGGTGGAAACTAGCTTCCAACAGGCTTACCTAGATTCGCTCATGGCAATGACAATAAGCTATATAGCTTTGTTAGATTTAGTTGGGCTTAGGCTTGATCTAACCTTATTTCAATTAAATAAAATAAATTACAATGACCAGAATAAATGCTAGGTGTAATAGAGGATTAATCTCATATGAAAAATTGACCCGGTTTTAGATGTCTATTGTGTATATCTTTTGCGAGGTTAAGAAAAGGTGGAACGTGAGTCATACACCCGCTTGCATGTCGACTCATGATGCGCGCATGCATGTGATCGGACAACTAGACCACGACACGAGCATGGTGCAGGGTTCAAAATTTCGACGAAATTTCGGCCGAATTTCACGAAATTCGGTAATTTCGGTGGTGGCCGAAAGAAAACTCCGAATTTTTTTAATACACTAATACATGTGCTATATAACTCTAATCTTATATTTTTCTATTGTTTATATTGCATATTCTTCTATTTAATAGATATGTAGTCATAAATCATACTAATATTTGTTTAGATCCAATTTTTTTAGAAAAAAACATACTTCATGTGCTAATCTCTAAAAAAATTTTGGCGAAATTTCGGCCAAATTTCGTGAAATTCGATAATTTTGGTGGTGGCCGAAATTTTGGTGATACCGAAATTAAAAACTTTGCGTGGTGCGACGCTAGTGAAAGTTTTGCAGCTCTAAGTTACCACCAACGTCATGTTACAGGATACAGTCTACCTCTTCTGGGTCTCAGGCGCGCTCATGTCGTGGGTCTATACTGGCCATAAAAAATGAGGAAGAGGAGGCGCTGAGAGTGACGGACGGACGTAGTAGAGAGTGATGGATTAAAAGGGCATGGAAGCGAGGGATGGATGAAAAAATTACCGTAATTTAAAATGTAAACATACATAAAAAGCCTCTTATAGGTAGAAATCAAAATTAGTTTTAATTTTCAACTTTGACCTTTTAAAAGACAAATTTTGACTTGTCCTCCCAACAATGCAAGTTTGTACGTAGATGATCCAAAGACCAAAGTGCAGCTGCAGTCCAAGCTCCTAATAATACTAAAAATTCTTTTTGCAACTAGGAATTGAAAGTCATGTGTTTTGTAGCGCGTCTCAGATTTGGGCCCAGGTAATTGTACTATACTCATGTCCGTCTCCACACTGAATTAGTAAGCTGCATGAGTAACCAAGTGGGGCCGGGAACCTGCACCACTGCTCACCGTTTGTCCCAGACTGTCTAAAAAGCGCGCCCCCTACCCGACTGTACATGCGTGCCTGTGCGGTGCCCGCCCCTATCTAGCACCCACTGCACCGCAACAACAAAAACAAGACAAGTGCCAGGCACTGTGCAATCACATCCATCATGCATGGGCCTCTGTACTTTGCTTTTCCTTGCATGCATGTCAAGTTATTTGATCACTTATTTTATTTACAGTGTTATAAATGGATATTTTTATCGAATTATTTAAAGTTTAACTAAATTCATGATGTAAAAATATGCAACATGGCGAATTTATTGACACTTATTTGGTATATTAGAATATGGATACTTTTTAACATAAATTTGATCAAAGTCAAAGTGTTCTATTTGAGTATTAAACTACTCCATCCGTTCCAAATTATAATTCGTTTGACTTTTTTACCCTAAGTTTAACCACTCGTCTTATTCAAAAAATTTGTGCAAACATAGTCAAATTTAAGTCATTCTTGAAGAATTTTTATTAATGAAACAAGCCACAGCAAAAAAAGGTGATATTTAGCACAAATTTTAGAATAAAACGAGTGGTCAAACTTGAGGTAAAAAATGAAACGAACTATAATTTGGAACGGATTTAGTAGTTTACTATAGCTTTTCAATTATAATACTATTGTAGCAGGAGTAAGAGAAGCTAAAAAAATCAGCAAGCTACTCTCTATGTGCGAAGCTAGAGTCATTTTGGTGCTCATTACTCACTAGACAGTGTATCTGGAGTCGGAGCCGTAGCTCATAAAAGCCTGGCCAAGCCAAACGGAGCTAGGCGTGATACTGTAGCTAGCAAGAAAAAGGCTCCGACTCCTTCACAAAACAACATAAACAGGAACCATGGGTTTGGGGCGTCACCGGCTCCGCTAGGGTGCCCAAGTCGGAGCCGAGCGGAGCCCCTCCAAACGTGGCCAGAATTGACGGAGAGAGTACTAGCAATGGTTTGGAGGATATCTCAGTCTTGACGGAGAGCACTGTAAAACTAAACAATGGTTTGGAGGATATCACAGTCACACACACAGCAGGGCAAAACAAAACTTAAAAATTAACGGAGAGAAACAAAGGAATTACACACACACACACAGAGGTGCAAGTGCAATACCTGAAATTAACGGCATGCAGAGAAGAGTTGAATTACAGACACTACAACCCCTCTCTGCTAGTGCAGCAGTAACAAGCACTGTTAAATGCTGTCAAAAAAGAAGCACTGTTAAAAAAAGAAACCTAGGCATGTGCCACTCCCAGAACTCCTGCTACGCTTTTCCCTGTCCAGTAGGCATGTGCCACTCCCAGAACTCCTCGCTGTGGCCCGGAGCCCGCCTCCTGACCGCGCTCTTCGGGTTCGGCGACCTGGCCGCCGCCGCTTTATCCTGCCGCCGCGCCTTGTCTCTCTGGTCGCCGCCGCCGCCGCCGTCGCCGCTTCTCCTTGTTGTCGACCTCTCCTTCCTCGCCTCGTCCCGCGCCGGCGCCACGTACACCACCGCCTCGTCGTCGGTGACCGTGAGCAGCGGCTCCAGGTCCTGGACGACGCGGGACATGTCCGGCCGGTTCTTGGGGCTGCCGCTGAGGCACTGGTACGCCACCAGCGCCGCCCTGTGCGCGGCCGCGGCGGGGTACTTGCCCTCCAGGGCCGGGTCCATGACCCGGGCCAGCTTGTGCGGGTCCTTGAGCCACCCGCGCATGTGCTCCACCAGGTGCTGCTCCCGGCTGGGGCGGGCCTTGTCCACGGCGCGGCGCCCCGACAGGGTCTCCAGCAGCACCACGCCGAAGCTGTACACGTCGCTCTTCGCCGTGAGGTGACCCGTCAGGATGTACTCCGGCGCCGCGTACCCGTGGGTGCCCATCACCCGGGTCGACACGTGGGTGTCGTCCCCCTCCGGCCCGTCCTTCGCCAGCCCAAAGTCCGACAGCTTCGCCTCGTAGTCCTGCAGAATTTTCAATTCAAATTGTCAGTCATCTGTGGTGCTCCTGTATGTTTAGATTCAGTTGGGCTGAACTTAAGAGCATTTTGTAGATCCAACTCCCAAGTCAATGGTCCAGTACTCCAGTAGAATAGTAACTCCAAAAGTGTTGCTGGGCTGCAGGTAGCCCAATAATGCATTTATTTTTCTTTTTATTAAAAAATAAAAAATAAAAGTTGGGACACCTGAAGACTTCAATTAAGTTGGGCTGGATCTTAAGCACAGTATGGCCCAGTAGCTCTAACTCCGAAGTTTTGCTGGGCTGCAGGTAGCCCAATAATGCAATGTGCCTTTATTTTTTCTTTTTAAATGAAACCCGTGACACCTGAAGACGACTTGCCTTTGAATTGAATGAAGAAATTAAAGTACACGAGCAAATCTAGCCAACCACCCCCACATTTTGAACAACACCGAATCAGCCGAAATTCTAAAAGGAGTTCCTCGAATCACCCTCTTCTCTTTTGTCTACTTTTCATATTCTTTTTTCTTCTTCTTCTTTTTTGCGGAAACAGAAAAGTAGTATGAAAGGATGAGAAAAGGAAGCATCATCGGATGATTAATTGTGCGGCGGGAAGCAAAGAAAAAGGGCTCTGATTTTGTCAGTCCTCGCCGCCGCAGTTGAAAAGAGTATAGCGGCGCTGGTAATAAAGGGTTTACTAGTAGTAGGAACGTACCATTTGCATACCAAGTCAACTACGGGCAGGTTGATCAGTTTGAAGTTTGTTGCATTGTTTCATGCCAAAGTCAACCTATTACTCCAGTCAGTGGTCAGTGCTACAACAACTAGGGTACAGCTTTTTAATTTTCTTTATTTTTCTTCAGAAAAAATGGTTGTCTGACGAATTTTTTGTGAAGAGAAGAGATTAGCAGAGTCGAGATTAAAATATACAGTGCCGCCGTATTGATTACGTACCGGGTCGAGCAAGATGTTGGATGTCTTGAAGTCGCGGTAGATGACGGGTTTCTCGTGGCCGTGAAGGAAGGCGAGGCCCTTGGCGGCGCCCACCGCGATGTTGAGACGCGTTGCCCACGACAGAACGGGCGGGAACTCTGCAACACGCATGCATCAACAAGGAAGATCATTATTAGCTGTTATATTAGTGAACCAACATGGTACAAGCATGATTAAATATAATGATGTTTTTAATTTTGCATTGGTATGATGACTAACTACACTACAAATGGATGGGATCGGATCAGTCAGAGAGACAGTCACGACGCACCATTCAGCATTAACAAATACGTATATCATATCATTTGTTCATTAATGCAGCATGATTGCTAGCTGCAGTTAAACATTGTTGATCGATCGATATCTTGCTTGTCAACTGCCATGTCCCCCGTGCGGCTAGCATGTATAGATACACATAAACTACCCAAAAACTATTTATAGCAGTCATATGCAAGCGTGCACTCATATATTATCTAGTGGATTGTATATATACACACAAACTTCGTCCATCCTAAATTATAAATTATTTTGGATTTATTTTAAGCCACCCTAATTTTGATCAAGATTATAGAAATATATACCGGCATCATGCACGATAAATAAGTTCATTCTCAAGACAAATTGCATATGGTTGGATTGCATGGGAACTTATTTGATGCCGTAAATGCTGCCTGTTGGTATATTTTACTGTATACTTTATTAAAGACAAAGAAAAAGTGATTTATAATTTGAAACGGAGAGGGTATATATATAGAGAGATAGTTCCATATAAGTCATTTTCAACAAAGGTGGTTGTGGACTTGACGACTCACGGTTTTGCTGCCCTCTCCCGATCCGATCGAGCCAGAGAGTAGTTAGCCCGACATGAAAGAAATAGGAGCGTACTGTATATACTAGTAGTACAAAGGAGCGTCAAACTTTGATTAATATTAATATCCATTCACCGTTATGCATCCGCCCACTACAGCGCGCGCAGCGGATCGAGCGCGTGTTCATCTTTTTCTACAAACCAGAAACCACCGCCGCAAGCAAACCAAGGGCCCAGGGCAACTAGGAGTGCATTACCATTATATTAACAAAGTCAACAGTCTCATGTAAGACTGGATCAACCACCTAGCTTTGGGTAGTTTGGTCAATATCAATTGGTCCCCCTTCTCTAGGCCTAGCTAGCTCTTTCGTCCAAACAGTGTTTATTTGGTTGTTTACCAGCTAATCCGATCCATATGATCAGTTGATGAGCTGAAGTTTGTTAGTGCGGGCTAGCTGGAGCACGTTGTACACACGTAGCAAATTGCGTAGACGATGGATGAAAGCAGAAAGCAGCTAAGTACAGCCAGCTAGCACGCAAGAACTGGCCTGGATCCACCCATCGCGCTTCCCAGGGGGTTGACAACGTGGTAAAAAACAATCAATTAGCTGCTGTCTACTAGCAGTAGTAAGCTGTGTATATGTACATGTCGAACTGTGTATATACGTAGTAGTGCAGTACAACTAGGTGAAGTCATTTAGGTGAATGTGCATGTGTCTCTTAAAATAAGCCTAGTTTGTCAGCTTGCCGGCCTATATACGGTGATATATATAACACTGTGTCTAATAACTGCGACCCAAAATATAAGACCCATTCGTCATTTGGGTAGCGCTACAGCCAAATAGTTCAATACATATTTTTGGTTTTCTCTAACAACAAGACCCAAAAGACAACACTTTCTACAAATGAGTCTTTAGGAGAGAGGATACTCAGATTTGAGTTATGCCTCTCCTGTCACCTAAAATAGGTCTTCTCTATAGGTACTATGTTGGAGGCTATAGATATTGTCTTGGAGACCTATTTTAGATTTGGGTTCTGCAATTGGTCTCCCGTTGGAGACGGCCTGATCCATTCTCTGCTGACATATGGCACGCATATTTTTATAGTTATTCATATACGGTATACAGTATGATGCTATTTTTATGCCAGTACGCAGTACTCCAAAAGAAAAACAGTAGCATGTACACACGAATTAATAACCAAAGTATGTTCAGTATATATAATTATATATGCGTAAATAAATAATAAAATGATGATAAATTTAACGAGTACCAGTAGCTGTATAAAGTACTAATGATGATAAATTTAACGAGTACCAGTAGCTGTATAAAGTACTGTTATAACCAATTAACCGTCATGCATGCAGTAGATAAATAAACAGTAAATAGTACAGCTACTCACTCTTGAAGAGGTGGTTCTCGAGGCTCCCTTTGGGCATGTACTCGTACACCAGCAGCCGGTGCTCCTCCTCGCTGCAGTACCCGACGAGCTTGACGAGGTTGCGGTGCCGGAGCTGGCCGAGGAAGATGACCTCGGAGAGCCACTCCTTGTGGCCCTGCGTGCCCTCGGGGTCCCACAGCTTGACGGCGATCTGCTGCGCGCGGAGCCCCGGCTTGGCGCCCTCGGCGACGGCGCCCCGGTACACGGGGCCGAAGCCGCCTTCCCCCAGGAAGTTGCTGTCCACGAACCCCCGCGTCGCGGCCTTGAGCTCCCCCACCGTGAACACCTGCAGGTTCGACCCCACCAGCGACACCGACAGGTCCTGGTCCGACGCCGTGCTCATCACGTCTGTTAGAGACAGGCGCTGGTGCTGCAGCCCCGTCGCCGGTGACGGGGACGGGAACGACGACGGGGCGGGGGACGGCGCCCGCCCGTGCTTCGGCGTCGTCCGCGGCTGGACCTTGTTCCGCCTGCTCCCCGCAGCGGCGCTGCCGACGACACCGCCCAGGCAGCCGCGGAAGAGGAACTGCCACGCCGACACCGGCTTCTGCTTCAGCTGCTGCGACTTCTTCTTGGATGACCTCGCCATCGATGATCTACCTGTCTGTCTATGCCACACACCACATGCAAGGTTTGGGATCAGTTTGAGAGCTCGATCGGTCGATGGATCTTTTGTTGAATTTGCAGGCGCTAGCTGGAGGAGTAGATCGAGAAGAAGGTGCGCGTGTGGACGTGTGGTGGTGGACTGGTGGTGGGGGGGATGGAGGGGTATTTGTAGAGGCCGGCCGGCCCGGGGCGAAGTAGCTAGCTACCAACCTTGAGTAAATGGACGGGACGAGACGGAGGGAGGAGCAGCAGCAGCAGACCGCTTCTTCCCACACGGCCTCTTGGCTAGGCTCTACCGGTAACACGGGATGGGGAGCCGCGTTCGATCGATCGGCTTCCGTTCCGTTCCATTCCACAGCGGATGACCGTTGACTTGACAGCTCAACGCCCTCCATTTTTTCTTTCTTCCTGCCACCCCACCCCCTTTGCATTGTATGTACGACACCTTTTCTTTTTCCTTTTTCCCCCCTTTTGGCTGCTGATTGAGGTAGCTTTCATGTTGATGGAAAATCTGCTGACGCGGCTAAAAAATCATCCTGTTTTCTTTAGCAAAGGACAATGCTCCCTCCTTTCTAAATACTATATTTATAGATCACTTTGGCTTTGGCTAAATTAAAGTGAAACTTATCTAATTTTGACTAAGGTTATAGAAAAATACACAAACATTTGTATTATCAAATTAGTTTCATTGGATCCACTATAAAATATGCCTCGACAGTGCATTTGTTTAATACTATGCATCTCCATATATTTTTTTCGAAAAAGTGTTCAAAATTAGATAAATTTGACTTAGACCAAGCTAACTTGAATTATTGACCTATAATTTGGAACATGGGAAGCAGTAAAAAAAATAAGACCCCATTCAGCATTAGTCATTCATTGATCTTGTTCTGTGGAGACTAAGTTCATCAGCTTGATGATGAGAAAGTATCCATTACCCAAGATGGTTAATATAATAAGCAACACTATGTGACCAGTTAATAGCTACAACATAAATGTATTGTGCTACGTATATAGTAAATTAATCTTAAATTTGTTGCTACCTCCATCCAAAAAAACACAATTTTTTTTTCTCGAATACGCAAAAGAATTGCGTATCTTTATAATTAAGGTAGAAAGTTTGATACAATCAACGCGCTTTTGGCAAGCGCCCTAGAGGTCTACATAATTACAGCCGTGGGCTGGACCATCCTAGCAAACAGATACACATTTCGATATTACACAAATGATAAACAACCAGGAAAGGGCAATGGCGCAGCCTATGAAGAGAGCTTGCGCTTGTGCTGCTTCCAACGCGATTCATTCCCGACGCCGTGGAAGAGCGCTTCGACGTTTGAAGTGCTATGCTCAGCCTCATAGAGCTCCTCGTAGGCTTTCTTCCCCGATGCGTTTGGCGTTGATAGGCCCGCAACCATACCCAATCGCTGCATGATTAGGACCTCACTTCGCTTGAGAGCAGGCAAAAAAATACAATTAAAAAATGGGATGGTTGTTTTGACACCAGAATCTCCTTTTTTTCTAAATGTATTTTTTAGGACGGGGGTAGTACGTAACAATTTTAAGGTAAATTTACTATATATGTAGCAGAGTACATTTGTGTTCTGGTTATGAACTAATCACATAATTTTGTATGAGAAGTTCAAACCTGAACAAAAAAAATAGTAGCCATGTAGGTTTGAATATATATATGTTGCCAACGGCAACAATGCAATTCACACATGCATAAGCAACATGGATTTGAAATGTGCATGTCATCGTCGTTGAAGAACAGATATCCTCGGCGACGCGTGTGGCGCATGGATTGCCATGTACACGCACGTATATTAAACATGTGAGAAGCGAAATATGAGAGGTTGCCGTTTCTTATACCCAACCTAAAAAAAGAGGTGAATTAGGATTTTGCAGGGGATAAGCCAGAACGTTGATTTTTACAGGTTCCTAACTTTCTATCGATCTCTCTAGTGTAAGCATGCGTGAAGCTATAGGGGTTTCCCCCCATTTATTCCTTCATTTCATTTAATTAATGCTACGATATGATCGAGCAGAGTAGTAGAAGCCAAATTTAGCTAGGGTTTGGCTTCATGGAATTCAAGTAAACAAAATGATTACAAAGACTCCGCACGCAGGTGATGAGAGGTGCATGCACGATGATCACCAAATGCCTCCTCCTCGCTGAGTTATTGCTTTGCCATTGTTGAAGGTGACCCACCTCAATTGAGGTGCTAGTATGAAGAGGCCAACGTACTATTCATGTAATTTCATTCATGCTAGCCTTATCGTTATTGGTTCTGGTTCTCTATCCTATTAACATTTTGTTACTTCCACGACATGCCTACTATAGGTAGAATTCAAATTTGGCGTAGGCTATAACATTTTCATCTTTTTTGGGTTCTACCATATATCGTCACTTTGCTCGAGCCATCAGATCATGCTATGCATGCACTTGTCCCTCACAAAATGGATTATCTGTACTTCCTCTCTATTCAATCTTTAACATGATTGACGAAGTTACCATAGACACATGTCGACGAGAACGTCGCTTACCACTAAAAGCACAAAACCATTAAATCTGGAATATTCGTTACCATAGATGTATGTCGACGGAAACGTCGCATACCACTAAAAGCACAAAGCCATTAACTGTGAAATATTCGCTCCACAGGGAGTCAAACCCAGGACCTCACTAGGCTACAGTCTCTTTTTAGCACTCTATGAGTTTATATAAAATATTACTTTTTAAAAGAAAGGATTTTTATGTTTTTTTTATTTCTATCTAACACATCTTAATTATGAGGATTATGCCTTGTTTTGGCATGGCTTCTATAGGCTCCGGCTCTATGCTACATTATCATTCACGGATGAAGCTGTTTTTCTCTCCCTATTAAAATAAACTAATAGCTGGTTGCTCAATGAAGCCTCCACATCAAAGCTAGCATCAACCAGCTATTACGAGATGTGTTTCGGTCCAAATGGATGCATGTTTACTTCGCCTATATGGTGGCACTTGCACATAACATTTTTAATTTAACAACGGTAGAAGTGAGTATATTGTTCTATTATGATTATTGAATTATTTTGTATAATAGCTTATACCGGTATTTTAGATATATCTTTGAGGATTATTTTATATTTTTATAATAGTAGAAGTGGATAATGTAGATACAAATTAAAGGTGGTTGCTTTTATATTATCATGCATAATGACATATCTGTGGGTAATTTAAGGTAAATTTAGGGGTTACTAGGAAATATGGGTAACTAGTAGATGTAAACCTAATGTTATTTTAAATTACCTTTTATAATAATAGAGATGAATAATTTAGATATAAATTTAGGAGGTTCCTTTATGTATTCTTCATAATGACATAGGTTAGTAACTTTTTGGAAGTAGAATATATCCAATGACCATTGTTGGTAATGATGATTAGAGTCTTTCTTTCTAGTTCCGGTTCAATCATAACTTACTATCAAGATGAACTGTGCACAGGCGCATAACTTAACTGGTTAGGTTCTTTTGTTGTCATACCTGTTCTTCCAGGTTTAAGAATGGTACAGTACACATTTGGCACTGCTGACCTCCTTGTCCTCCCGGTTGATGACCCGGCCTCGAGCCTCCTCCCTCGCCTAGATGCACCGCCACTTCTATCTCAAGGAGTTTAGCGTCTTGCCCTTTGGCTCCGGGGACTCACCCGTCATGCGGCACCCGCTTGACCGCCTCGTCGCCGACTTCTTCGATCGCACCGTCAAGGTGCTTGACCTAGCTATATGCAATGCCACAATGGCCTTGATCTCATCCGCGAGTGGCACAAACACCTTGCCGTTGCCACTTGTAAGTGCATCTAGCCCTTTAGTGTGTTTTGGTGAATTAAATGATAACACCATTAAAGGTCTAACAAGTTTGCTAAGCGTTGAACAGCTAGTCCCCGAGCGCCTTGTATCTGCTGAGCAACACTATCTTGAGCTTGTCCGAGCAGTTGAACATGTAGCTCGTCAACAGGAGCAGGCGTTCGACTAGTTTAACTAGGAGCCGAGCTGTTGAATCAAGTGTTCGACCAGTTTAACTGGGAGCCGAGTTGTTGAATCAAGCATCTGACCAGTTGAACTGGGAGCCAAGCTGTTGAATCAAGCATCCGACCAGTTGAACTGGTAGCTGAGCTGTTGAATCGAGCATTTGACCAGTGGAACTGGTAGCCGAGCTGTTGAATCGAGCATCCGACCAGTTGAATTGGGAGCCAAGCTGTTGAATCGAGCGTTCGACCAGTTTAACTAGGAGTGAAATTGATTTTATTGCATACACTTGTGGATTGTGAAATGAGAAATGTATATACGTTCAACAAGAAGGCAAACTTAATGATATTCCACATAATGTTCAAATCAAGGCCAAAATTATGTATTGTTGTGTTGGAAGATCACGAAAACAATATAGTTCAAGAGAAAAGAGAAAGATAACAATGCAAATGGAGTTGATGAAATGGCTTCTATGTTGAGGAATATCATAGTATCATGAGAAAGCAAGCATATTTGGCAAATGTTAAAAGAGACATGAGTTGATGATTTTGGATTGGTTCCAATAATGCCTTGCTTTGCATGAACAAGAAGAGTTTGATAGTGGATTAGCTTTGATCAAGCTAGAAGTATGAAGATAGATATTGAAGTGAGTATTAGGAGTGTTAAGCCAAGATGAAGAGGATATAAGGAATCATGAATTGGCTTGACCATGTTGATGTTGATTCATATATGTCTTTATGTGAATCAAACTAAAGCTTGATTGATCTCAACATTCATATCTAAAAGATATTCAAGCAAGGATCATACTATTGAAGAAATGGTTCAAGTCATATACTCAAGATATGTTTGCTCGAAGAAATGAGACAAAGATGTTTGCAAAGCCTTTATGAAGTGATATTGAGAAAGAGGATAATACATGCAATGGTGAAAACCCCCAATTATAAAAGGATGCGTGACCAACTCAAAGGTGTTTAAA